TCACCCTCTTTCACGCACTCCCAAAAATCGCATTTTTTGCTACAACAGTTGAACAATTTACCTTTGTTGTTCGTGTTCTTCACTATTGCAAAACACTTGACATACGCAGCTTTACATCACGGGCAACGGACCTTATTTTCACAATCCGCAAAAAAGTGACAGCTTCGTCTACAACCATGACGGACTCCATCATTCGGTCCTGCCATTAGAAGCTGCAAAAAACTCTACATTACACACGGTGCAACAATTCAAGAAAGGGCATTTTCCTAATATTGCAATCAGCCAATCAGTTGTTTTGTAATTACATTCTTGACAATATTGTTTTGGTTCGGAATCTACTTTGTAGAAAATTTTACTCCAAATTTTGGTTCTGCTGACTCTGTGGTTGATGCTCGTAGTTTTGGTGATTCCTTGGCTGATGCTGGTAATTTTTGTTCCTAATGAATTGATTTTAGAAAGCCAAAGGGATGATACACTAATATGAAAGAAATTAACAAATACAATGATAATTCATTCAATTGCATTTCAAGCTACAAAAGTTTATAATTCATTTTAAAATCCAGAATTTGGGAATGAGCTAAATTCACTGCACGTAAGAGTGCTGAGGCAAAGAGAGAAATTTACATGATTTAGAGAACCCTAATTTTGAAAAAATTTCTGGGTTCTTAAGAAGAACACAAATATAATCATCAACCAAATTTTGGGCAGATAAACAGCTTCATAATTTCACAAACTTGGCCGAAAATCAACATCTTTGAGTTACCCATGTAAATCACGTATGAAGGTTGATAAGTGTGTTTTTGCACACTTATTTACATCACAAACATGACTCAAATACAAGTAAAATGATTGAATTTTTACTTAATTTTGTCGAATTCATGCAATGTAGGTGATTCTATGGAAATAGTGGAATTTAGGAGAAAAGAGCCGAAAAATGACCAAATTGGAGCAAAATGAAAATTCAGGGACCAAATTACAATTATCTGAAAGTTGATCCGATGAACACATCAAGCAATTGATCAAGCTAAGCACCAATTGGAAGTTATAATGGAACATTGGAGTAACTAGAAAGAAGAGAGGAGGTCAAGGAGTGAAGGAATGAAACTTGAGGAACAAAATGACTCAATTTAGAAGTTTATTCTATTATGCGGTCGCATAGTAGAAAACCTATGTGGTTGCGAGTAACCCTCCAGGGATTAAAAACGTCATATTTCATATACCTATGCGGTCGCATAGATATAACCTGTGACCGATTTTTGCAATTTCCTTATATGATTGCAACTCCTTTAGTAACCTAATTTCGACGGGTTTAAATAGCAAATAAGCATCCAGAAGCCGCACGAACGAATTGGGAGGCAAAAATATTCATTTTGGAAATGATTTGAAGGCAAGAACAAGGATTGATGCGAAGATTTACAAGATTTCTTCAAGTTTTGATAACTCGGTGATGTATTTTATTCAAAACTTGTTAGATTTTGTTATTTTTATCATGATAGGCTAGATTTCTGGGTGATCGATGAACCATGTAATTATTATTAAACTTGTTATTTCATGACTTTGAATTTATAGTTCGATGAGATATTTGAATGAATTATATTGATTTATTTATTTCCACAATTAATGTGCACTTAATTTGTGTGAAATTGGTGGTTTAATTCTGAATTTGAGAAAATTGGATTAAACTCGACATATATAATTCATCATAGGGTCCGATAGGGGATATAAATATACCCCTATGCCATATGTAAATCTTTAATTGCTCACAAAATAAAATTACATGCATTCTTGTATAATTGCATCCGTCATAGAAATATAGGCTGGTGATTTATGAGAATAGGTTCAATATATCTCGAGAGAGAGTATTGAATAGATTTAGGAGCATTGATTTGTCAAATTCTCATTGGATTATCAAAATTGTGAAATTAGGGTTTAATTAGTAATTATTTGGGGATTCGTGATCATAGTGCATTCGTTTTACATAGATTTTCATAAATTGAAAATACATTTCATTTATTTTCATAACATTTCGTAATTGAGTCATTTGTTAAGTGAATTTGAGTAATTAGGGGTTTGATTTGAAATTAGGGTTTTTTAATTTGGGGATTTCTCCCAAAATTAGGGGTTGATTTGAAATTAGGGTTTTTCAATTTGAGGATTTCTCCCAAAATTAGGGTTTGATTTGAAATTAGGGTTTTTCCCAAAATTAGGGCTTTTAATTCTAAAATTCATCTTAAAGCAATTAGTTTCGGTTAAGGCTAAAATAAATAAAATTGAACTACTCTTTCTGTGTGGGACGATACTCAGACTTCTAAAGTCCACTTTATTACTTGTCACGACTCGTACACTTGCGATAATTTAAATCGAAAGAAATATTTCGCGAACAAAGGTCACCTGATTTTTGGTGCAAATTCGCCAAAGAAAACTGTGGTTGTAGGGATTCGAACGAACGCCTTCACAATACACTGACCGAACGGCTTCGGTTTCGTCGAAGGTCTACATTTATACG